TCCCCGACCCCCTAGGCAGCCGGTAGGCTGGGATAGGTGAGGGCACAGGAGCAGGGGAAGGTCAACAGCAAAGGATGCTGGGAGAGTGGCTCAAGGGCCAGGGGGGCCACTGGAGCCCAACACACATCCCCCTCCACGGGTCCCCATATCCTGAGTGCCATGTCCTCAGGGAGGTGTGGGAAGGGTGTCTCTCCATTGGAGCCTCAAAGTGTGTCCCCGAGGTCCCCTGTGTGCCAGTACCCCGAACTTGAGGGACAGGGGTTGAGGTTGCAGCTCTTCCAGCCCAGCATCCTCCATCCTGGGCGACCAGTGCCACAAGAAGGTACCTCAGGGTCCCTTTATTCTCCCCTCTCCCCACATCAGATGAGTCTCCTAGGCCTAACCGCCCACTCTGGGATCAGGGGTTGTTCCCCACGGCTCACGCAGTGATGAACCCTGAGTGCCCATATGGTTACCATCACCAGGCATGATCCCTCTGCCCACCCACCGGCCCAGGGACCGGGCAAGGAGGGCAGCCGGCAGCTCTGACATGCCGGACACACTCCCTGCATCAGGGCATGGCTGGGGCAGGGGAGGCAGCCAAAGTGCTGGTGCCCATTGCAAGACTTTACTGGTTTCTAGACCGCATCGCTGGAGGGTTTGGGCTGGAGCTGGTGCTGGGGGCTCCCGGGGCTGGGGAGGGTCAGGGGTGTGGGAGCTGTGGCTGGGGGCTCCACAGGGGGCTGTCCATGGGGAAAGCCTCTACCACAGCCTGGGGCTGCAGCTTCCCCACTAGGAACGGGTGCAGGGAGATCCAAACACTCGCCCCATGCCAGCCATGCCCACACTCCAACATCCAGGAGCACCTGCTTGGGATCCCCCGAGGAAAGCGGAGCTGGCCCAGGGGGAAGGAAAGATCCCAGCGCCGACCGCGTCTCTGGAAAGGGAGGCCCCTTCCCATGGGGATGTCTGTGCAGCCGGCAGAGGGGAGGCTCGAAGGAAAAGTTGAGAGAGAAGCAGGTTCTGGGCCTGGTGGCAGGAGAGCTCGGCTGGAGGCAGGTCCAGGAGTTAAATCACGTTGTCAAAGAGCTGCATGGACCGCATGATGTTCTCGTCCTGCAGGGACGAGGTAGGAAGCAGGTGGTTTGGGCATGGAACAGCAATTTGGGCAGCTCCTCCCAAACCTGGCTTTACCCTCACAGCAGCTCTGACCCACGGGACAAGAGCCCCAGGGATTACAGAGAGTTTCAAGCCCTATTGGGATGCACGGCTCTCCCAGTCTACACAGGGATGCCAGCACAGATAGAGTTCCCAAAGCAGAGCCCCAGCCCTGCTCCCGGGAGCCCTGCCTTCACCCCCTCTCTGCCAAGAGGGCGATGGTGGGAGAGGTCCCCAAGGGACAGGGAGGTGGTCCAGCCCCAGATCAGAGCCGCTGGTGGCTTTACCTTCTGGCAGGACTCCAGGAACTCCTCGATTGTCACCACGCCGTCCTTGTTTCGGTCCATTTTCTGCAGACAAGCACAGCATGGGGACCATGGCAGGGACAGCCCTGGCCCAAGGGAGAACCCAGCACCCCCTGCCTGGGTCCCGCAGGGGCTGGACATGGCACACCCCTGCCCCAGCCATCCCCAGGCACTCAGCAAGACCAGGATGGCCTTTACTCTGCCTGGCTCCAGCACATCCCAGTTTCATCCCCAGCATGGGGCATTTTCTCCTGCACAGTGCCAGGTTTTGGGTAGCCACTGGCTCCGTGCTGGAGCTCTGCTTCCCCAGGGTGTGCTCGGCTCACCTGGAAGAAGTTCTCCACGTGCTCCCGAGGCGCTTCCTCCCGCATGGCCGGGTAGGTGTATTTGCCCATCATGTCGTAGATGGACTTCATGATGTCCAGCATTTCCTGGAGGGAGGGGGGGTGGCAGGGTCAACACAGAGCTCTGCCTCCGCTTGGTCCCCAACCCACACCCTTTTTGTGATGCTCCAAAGGATGAGGGGGGGTGTGTGTGTCAAGTGTGTTCCTGCCAGCTCCATGTGTGTGCCTGCATATATGATGGAGCCCCAAAGCAGCACACACCCCCATCCACTCTCCACCCCGAGTCCTGCCCTCATCCCTGCTGGGAGCAGACCTGCTCCAGTCCCACTCCCCATCCCACCTCTTTGGTGATGCAGCCATCCTTGTTCAGGTCGTAGAGGTTGAAGGCCCAGTTCAAGCGGTCATCAATGGTGCCCCGCAGGATGATGGACAGCCCAGACACAAAGTCCTGCAAGGATGGGCAAGGCAGGCAGTTGTGGCCACAAAGGGTCTCAGGGACACAGCGGGCACAGCCCTGCTAGTGCTCCCTGTAGAGGGGGGAACTCAGCTCCAAAGTTCAGCCCCCCAGAGCTGGGCCGACAAGGGAAATGCTGAGTATCAGAAAGAGCGTGGGTAAAACTGATGGCTCGTCCCCAAACGTGTCCAACACGAATCTCCTGGGTCACAGCACATGAGGACAGCATGTGTGGCTCTGCCGGGGAAACTACAAGCCACTACCCAGAAAATACAGAAAACCCCCCATTTGTTGCTTTTGGTTTTCCACCACCTCTGGGAATCTAATAAACTCATCCAGCCCCTGTGAAGGTCACCATCCACTTGTGACAGCAATGCTGCTCAGCCCAGCCCGCCGTCCCCTCAAAAAAAACCTCACCCGGCCCCCTCCTCGCTCACGGCTCACCTCGAAGCTGACAGAGCCGTCGTGGTCGGTGTCGAAGGCGTTGAAGAGAAAGGTGGCATACGTGCTGGAGTCTGGGGGGAGACAGACAGTGTGATGGGGTGCTGTGCGACCCCCCGCCCCGTGGAGGCACCCATGGGGACAGGGATGGGCACTCACCTCCCTGTGGGAAGAACTGTGAGTAGATCTGCTTGAAGTTTTCTTCATTGACGATGCCGCTGGGGCACTCCTGCCAGGGCAAGCCACAGTGTCACCTCCATGTCGTGGAGAGGGGCTGAGCATCCCCCTAAAGCCCTGCAGCTCCCTCGCCTCGCTCCCCCCACCCTGCGCTGCCCAGCAGGGGTGGCTGGGGAGGCTGCTTGGCTCCCCACGGAGCTCCCTGGACGTGGGATCACAGCCGGAGGAAGGTGTAGCCCCTTGGGCTGCAATCTAAAGCTGTTCTGAGCTGCATGGGCAGGGATGGCTCCATCTTGGTGCCCAGCAATCTCAGGCAGCATCACTGGCTGCAGGAGCTCACCAAAACGGGATGATCGGGTACCAGAGCTGGTGCTTGGTGGGGATGAAGGGTGCAGGAGGGAGACCAGCCCCTTCCAGTGCCACAAACCCCAGGTGAACCAGAGTCCCTCCACAGAGCCCGAGGCACAAACAAGGATTTGCTATCTTTGGAGCTGGACTCTGTATCACCCAAGGGCCAGTTTGATATTTTGGTTCCTATAGCCCCTGAAAGGGTCAGGTCCCTGCAACCTGATGGAAAAAAACCAAGGTAGGGTTGAAAGTCAGAGCCAGCTTAAAGCACCTATGCACTGATATTTCTACCCCGAGAAAGGTCCCGACAGCCTTTGCAAACCCAAGGCACTGCTGGGTGCGAAGGACCCTCCGAGGTGGACGTGGCAGCAGAGAGGGGGGGCTAGCAGAGCTGGTTGAGGGGTACTCACGTTCTTGAAACCTCGGTACAGGACCTGCAGCTCTTTGCGGGTGAACTTGGTCTGCTCCTGGAGCTGCTCCAGCCCCTCAGGGCGGTGGCAGACGGTGGAGAGCTCAAACTCATCCTCAACGCTGTCTGCAAGGAACCCGGGGGAAGAGAGGGCGGCTGAGGCCAGCACCATAGGGCAGGAGAGGCACTTGGTGCAGCACACCCCATCGTCTCACACCTGCCCAGGGTGACACACTTTTGGGGTGCCCTGCTCAGCCGGAGTTGGGTCTATGTCAGAGATGCCCCGGGGGCAGACCAGCAGCTGACACCAGGCAACAGCCCCCACAGC